CGATACTGGGGCACCTCCACGAAATACGACGGCGCCCAGGGTCCGGTTTGTCCTTCCCGTGTCGGTAGTGTCGCGTAGTCCGTCGGCTTCGTGACGATGACGCGCCACCAGTCCATGGCGGGTCCTCGCAGCAACGACACGGCGTATCGAATCTTCGCCGAGTCCTCCGAGACGTAGTTGGCGTCGAAGAAGACATTCATTGTGAACAACCACGCCTGGACGGTAGGACCACCCCGTTGACTCGGGTCAAAGCATGGCGGGCGCTGCGGCTTCAGTGGCATCGGTGACGGCAGTCCCGAATCGTGGGTTGGTGCCGAAATCATGACGCGAGGCTGACTTGGGGCCGCAGGCGTCGCTCTGGGGTGTGTCGTGCCGTGGTCGTCGTCTCCGTCGGGGCGGACGACGCCATCACTGGCCGCGCTCGCGGGTTGCCCCACACTCCCGTGTTGTGATGTTGAGGGTGCAGGTTGAATCGGAGTGCCAGGTGCTTGAGATTGTGCTCTCATGAGGTCATTTTGCAGTGATGAGCGTTCTGCCGTTAATGCCGCGATTTCCTCGGAGCTTTCGTGCAGCTGTCGCAGCAGATCGTTCAAACGCTCCTGCGTGAGGGTGGTGACGTCGATATTTTCAGCCATGACGAAGGGCGTCGGCTCGTCTTAGTCTAGGCGCAGTCGTGGCTGCACGCGTTTACGAGAGAACGCGAGGACAGCGGCTCCTAGGGGCTAAGGTGCGTGAGTCCCTTCGAGTGAAAAATCAAAAGTTGATTTCCTGGTGTGCGGAGATGCGCGGTCCGAAAGAAAGGGGCTCTGATACCAAGTGTTACGGGTGCAATGAATCGAAGTAGCGAGAATTGCACTAAGGTGTCAAATGAGTACAAAATGTGAGCGAAGGCATGAGCGAACATTTATACGCGAAACATGCAAAACGGTAACGCGGTGCGTGCGAGCTTGCTAGTGCTACGCTGGAGCGAGGCTCGGGCTAGTCCTGAAGCGTAGGCCGATACGGCCATGCCAGCAGTGCGAGGTTTGGCAAAACAGTGCGCGCGAAGTCGGCGAAGTTCCGTTAGCAGTAACGGGCGAACAATCGGCTGTTGCTGTACGCGATGTAGTCGGCTCCGTAAGGAATGCCGAGAAATTTCCTTACAGCTACAGTGTACCAACAGTTGGTGTTGATGAACGGTTCAGGCTGTAAAGAAAACAGTCTACAAGTGTAGCTCGCAGCTACCCAACATTGCATACTCGCTACAGTAGCACCAAACCTCAATACCGCCTCCCACTTCCAGTCATCATCCTCCAATTTCTCTCGCCCTTCCGCCCCACCATTCCCAACTTCTGCCCAACTAGATCATACCACGTGGGGTCGAGTTTTCCCTTCGGCCTCCCCAGCCCAGCACCAAGCCTTGCCACATGGCGTGCATTCCCCTTCCCCGGATATCCTCCGCTGTTTCCCCCGTGCGCGCCTCCCTCCGCCTTTCGTTCGCCCCGAACAGCCCGCGCCTTTTCTCCGCCGTGCGGGCATCGGCGCACGCTGCTCGCGTTCCCCTTCCCCCGTCGCATTCCCCCCAATCGGCGCTCAGACCTTCCCGCTCATCGCCGGCGGAGCTCCGCCCTCCGCGCGGCTTCCCCGCGGCCGTCCGCGGCATTGGCGGGGGGTGTAGACCAGCGCACGTGGCGGTGAGGGCGGAGGGCGGGGATGGGGCCGACGGGGGAGTCGATCTCCAAGTCGCGAAGCTCTTCGGCAGCCTGGAGTGAGTGAGTGAGTGAGTGAATGAGTGAGTGAGTGAATGAGTGAGTGAGTGAGTGAGTGGGTGAGTGAGTGGGTGAGCGAATGAGGAGTGAGGGAGTGAGTGAGTGAGTGGATGAGTGAGTGTGTGAGTGAAGGGAGGAAGCGAGGGAGGGAGGGAGCGAAGGAGGGAGGGAGGGATGGGAGGGGAGGGGGGGGATGAAGCGAGGGAGTGAGGGAGGGAAGGAGGAAGTGAGGGAGGGAGGGAGGGAGGGAGGGAGGGAGGGAGGGAGGGAGGGAGTGAGGGAGTTGAGGGATGCAGTGGTTGGATGGAAGAGAATGTTGCGCACGGAGTGGAAGGATGAGAAGCCGAACGACAATGTCTGGACTGCCTCCCCCTCTGTCCCATTCTCTGCCTTCTCCCCGCTCTCCTCTCCCACCCACCTCCCACCTACCTCCTCGCTCGCCTGCCTCCCCATATTCTCCCCTGTCCCTTACCCCTTACCCCGTGCCCCGCGCCCCGTGCCCCCTGCCGCTGGCGCTGGCGGTGCTGCGACCAGGATGCGGGAGCCATACGAGGTGGCGATGAAGGTGCGAGACTACGAGCTGGACCAGTACCGCGTCGTCAACAACGCCACCTACGCCAGCTACTGCCAGCACGGTACTGCCCCCGTCCCCACCCCCGCCCCCGCCGCTCCCCCCCCCCCCCACTTCAGGCACCTAAAAAATCCCCGCCCCTGCCGATTCTTGAGGCGCCTCAAAAATTGTCCCTGCCCCTGACTCGGCCCCTGCCCCGCTCCAGCAAGGGGAGGAAGGGGGACTGCGGAGAGGGAAGGGGTGTGCTGGGGGGAGGAGGGAGGAGTTAGTTGGGCGGAGACGAGAGTGTTGGGGGGGAATGAGACGAGTAGGGGTGCGGGGGGAACAAGGGAGTGGATAAGTGGGAGGAGGGGTGGGGGGAGACGGTGAGGGTGAGAGGCGTATGGCATGGGATTCTTGCGCGTCGTCCCTCGGTCCCTCAGTTTCTCAGTTTCTCAGTCCCACAGTCCCTCAGTCCCACCTGCTGCCTATGTCCGCTGTGAATTCGCTCTCGCCTTGCAGAATGATCGTCTGCTAGTACCCACCCTACCCACCATACCATGCCACCATTGCTCCCCCTCTCTCCATCTCACGTCTCGGTCTACCCCTTTGCTCCCACCCCCTCTCGTCCCAACCACCACCACCACCACCACCATGGCATGTACGTGCACACATGGCAGCGCGGCATGAGTTCCTGGCGTCCATCGGGCTGGCGGCGGACGAGGTGGCGCGCACAGGGGACGCCCTCGCCCTCGCCGAGCTCTCTCTCAAGTACCTCAACGCGCTGCGCGTGAGTCCCCGCGTGGGGGGGGAGGAAGGGAGGGGGGAGGGAAGGGGAGGGTGGGAAAGGAAGGGGTGTGGTACCATGGAGCTGAGCCCTCGCCCTCGCTGGCTGAGCCCTCGCCCTCTCAAGTACCTCAGCGCCCTGCGCGTCGTGAGTCGCAGGGGGGAGGGTTAAAGGGGGGGTTGGGGTGGGGGGTTCCTAGCAGGGCAGGGTGCTGCTGGCTTGGCTTGTGGGTGGACTTCTGAAGCTCGCCTCTCAAGCTCCTCAACGCACTGCGGATGCTATTCCGTACCTCCCTTTTTCTCCGCCCACCCTCCCACCCCCTGCCCTCGCACCACACCACACCACGCAGAGTGGCGATGAGTTTGTGGTGACGGCGCGAGTGTCAGGCACGACAGCAGCGCGAGTGTTCATAGAGCACACCATCTACAGACTGCCGGATAGAGAGGTGCGCTTGCATGTATGCACTGCATACCGACTTTTGAGACGTCTCGAAAGAAGACAGCAGCACGAGTGTTCATAGAGCACACCATCTACAGACTGCCGGATAGAGAGGTGCGCAGCACATGCACTCCACCCAGCGTCCCACCATCTCACCTACCATCCTACTGTCCTACCTTCCTTCCCATCACCCCATCACCCCATCATCTCATCACCCCATCATCTCATCACCCCATCATCTCATTATCCCACCATGCCACCATCAACCTCTTTGTCCACATCGCCACCCTCTTCCTATCTACTGCACCTTCTTCACCCATCTCAACCCCTTCACCCTTCCCAGTCGCCTCAATCTGCCTCCCCTTGCCTCCCCACCATTTCACCTCCCCATTTCCCGTGCACACTCGCTGAGAGCAGCGGGTGCTACAGGGGCAGGCAACGGTGGTGTTTCTGGACAAGGCATACCGCCCCACGCGCGTGCCCGCGCTCTTCAAAGCCCGCCTCACCCAGTTCCTCCGCGCCCAGCAGCAGCAGTAGCGCTCGTGCAGGCGCAGGCAGTGGCAGAGGGAGCGGGGGGAGGGGGGGAGCGGGGAAGAAGACCAGGCAGGCACATGTGTGGGGCAGTGCTGCCGTCGCTACCGCCTCACCCAGTTCCTCCGCAAGCAGCAGCGGTAGCGCATGTGCAGGCTCGCGCAGCTGCAGAGTGGGGGGAGGGGGTGATGGATGGGCCGGGTGCTGGGTTGGATGGGCGGAAACGAAGGGCGTGGGTGATGGCGGGAGCCTGGAGGTGGAGGTCGGGAGATGGGTTACTTTAGGGCATGGCCTGGAATATGCGTGTGCTAGCAGCCTCCCTGATGGCCCGCTTGGCTCTCTTCTCTCTCTTTCAATCAGGAGCTGCTGTGCTCCCTGAACTTCTCTCTTTTCCCTTTCTATTGTACAGGTTTCACATTTGTCAATTCCATGCTCCACGGATGCAAGTTAGTTCAAGCTATCATTATTTCCATCCTTTCTGCACCTAGTACTTTTAAAACGTATTAGGCTGAGAGTTACACTCTACAAATCGCTGCTCAGCTTCCGTACACTGTCTACATGCTACGTAGAGTACAACTAAAATTACCTAACAGATTCTACCTGTATCCTTCCAACACACTACGGTACGGTACTGGTAATGGTGTCTGCCTGCCAGCATACCGTCCATTCTTCCATCCCTGCACTCCACTCCACCTGTGTGGACTGTGGACCCCACAAGCCAGTGCCCTCATCCAACCTCCATCTTCCATTGCTTGTCCAGAGCCTTGCATCGAGCTTGCATCACAGCAGCAGCAGAAGCAGCAGCAGCAGCAGCAGAAGCAGCAGCAGCAGCAGCAGCAGCAGCAGCAGCCCAAGATACAGACTGCACACTGCTCATCAGCCCGGCAAGGCAAGAGCTCAACTCCACCTATGCACAGGAGCGTTGGCATCTGGAATGCAGGGTGCACTAGCAGGCACAGAACATGCCCTTCTCAAGCCCAGCCACACGCATTGCATCTGGCACCACTGCTGCTGCTGCACTGCTCTCTCCATACCCCAATCTCACCCCCCCTCGCTGCTGCACCTGCTGCCGACCAATTCTGCTGCCACCAAAGCCACCAGCAATGCCACCTGCAACACTGCCGGCAATGCCGGCACTGCTGCTACGTCCCACTGCCGGCGCACCACAAACGTCCCTTACTTCTCCTCCTCCTCCTGCTCCTCCTCCTGCTCCTCCTGCTGCTGCTGTTGATCCGGCTACTGACACTCGCACAGACGCATACCTGCCTCTCACCACGGAGTCCCCTGTTGCTGCTCCTGGCGGGTAAGCATGCGTGGGGAGGGAGGACAGTCTAGGTGTAGTGCTAGGCTTGTTCGGCCTGCCGCTGCTGCTGCTGCCAGTGTAAGGGTTCTCTTCTAGCCAATGCTGCTGCTGGTACTCCTGGTGCTGTTGCTGCTGTTGCTGCTGCTGCTGCTGGCAATCTTGCTGCTGCTGGTTGTTCATCAGATAATATTGCTCCTCCCCCTGTTCCTGCTGCTGCAGCTGCAGCAACTGCATCTGCTGCTGCTGCTGCTGTTGCTGTTGCTGTTGCTGTTGCTGTTGCTGTTTCTGCTGCCGCTGCTGTCGTTGCAGCAGCAGCGCCTGCAGCTGCTGCTGCACGTCCATAGAACCCCCCCCACCACCCATGGAGCGCCCACCACCAACACCACCGCCGGCAGAAGAACCAGCAGCAGCGGCAGCCCGAGCAGCCGAGCCCGCAGCAGCCAAGGCAGAAGCCGCAGCAGCAGCAGTAGCGGGCCTAGAGTAGCAATCAGCAGCAGAGCGAGTGGGTGAGGAACGGTGGGAGTCGGTACCAGAGGCGGCGCGCAGTGACTCTAGCACTGAGCGCAGCCCAGCAGCACTCATACCTCCGCCACTCGCGCCGCTTCCGTTCCCCCCTTCCTGCCTAGTTAGTGCGTCAAGGAATGCTTTCCCGCCCCCTCCACCCCCAACTCCCGCTCCGCCTCCGCCCCCACCGCCCCCTCCGCGCGCCTTCTGCTGCGCCATCAGCAGGTCCATCACCTGCCACAGCCTCTTATTCTCCGCTTCCGCCTCCGCCAGCTTCTGCCGCACCGCGGCCGCCGCCTCCGCCGCCTCTCGCGCCTCGTCGCGCGCGTCCTTCGCCTCCTCCAGCGCGCGCGACCACGAGCTAAGCGCCGCCTCCATCTCCGCCGCCATCGCGTCGCGCTCCGCGCAGGCCGCGTCGCGCTCCGCTTGCGCCTCGCGCAGCGAATGCACCTCCGCGCGCGCGTCGCGCAGCTTGGCCTCCACGTCGCGAGACGCGGCTTCCATTCCGCGCAGCGACTGCTGCATGTCTTTAAGACGCGCCTCGGCCTCCGCTAAAGCCTGCGACTTGTGCTCCACGCGATCTACAGCGCATAGACGAAAAGGAACACGTGGAAATGGCGAAAGATTAGGATACGGGGGAGGGGAGAAAGTGCGGAGGAGAGATATCGGAAGGGAAGGCAGGGAGAAGCACCCTAAAGGCCCTATCGCGTATGTCCGTCGGTCATCAACAGGCTTGCCGGCCGGCCGGCCGGACTACCTGAACGCCTCCCTATTCCCTAAACCATTCCCGCGCGCGGCGCTCCGTTCATCCTTACCTAGCAGCTCGCAGTTAGCGGCGGAAGCGTCGGCCAGTTGTTGCTGTAGCACCGCGACCTGCTTCGACAGCACCCACACCTCCTCCGTCGTCGCCGCCGCCGATCGCGGGCTGCCGTCGCTGCTGCTGTCGCTGCTGTTCGACCCGCCGCGACGGCCGCCGGCACCGCCGCCGACGCCGTCTGTGCTACTGCTGTCCATACGCTCCGCCACGTCAGCGCGGCCGTCGTCCGACGAGTCGCTCTCGAGGCGCATAATGCTACCGCCGTACCTGTTCGAGCCGTCGAGGTCCTGTCGGTGGCTCAGGTTACTCTGCTGGTAGGTCCTGCCGCTTTTGCCGCTCGAGGCGCCGTTTGAGGCGGCGTTACTGACGGCAGTATTCCTGCCATTCCCGCCTTTTCCGCTCTCAACCGAACTGCTGATGCTACCGCCATTCACGGCAGCATCTGCTGCTCGAGAGGCAGGCGCAGTTTTCGGTCGCTGAAGAGTTTCGAGGAAGGAGCGCACCCTGCTTATGTCTGCTTTCTTCTGCTTTTCCTCCTCCTGCTGCTGATGTTTCTTCTCCTGCTGCTGTTGCTGGTGCTGGAGCTGCAGCTGCCTGTGTCGCTCCTCCGCGAGGTGCACGCGATCGTGGAAGCTGCCCGCGACGGCAGGCGGCGGCGACGGCGACTGCGACGGCGGAACCGACGCTAACGTGGAAATAGGAAACCACTTGGACCCAACCCTGATTGTCACCTCTCCGTCGTCCCAGTCGGCCCCACCGCCCCCGCCACCCTCGCCGCCCTCGCCGCCTCCGGCGCTGCTGTTCAGTCGGGTGCCGCTGCTGCTGCTTCGTCGCCAAAGCGTCTCCGGTTCTTCGTCGTCCTCCTCCCCATCCTCTCCCTCTCCGTTCGCCCCCATGCCCCCCACTCTCCCCCATTCGTCCATCTCCGAATCGTCAGCCGAGTCCTCTTCGCCTCCCGACGCAGCCGCCTCCGCCGCGTCGTCCCCCCGCATTCGCGCATACCCCGCGAGATCCGTACTGCTGTTTCCGCGCATCCCTCCGCGCGCGCTCATCAGCCGCCAGCTCCCCTCGGGCGCCGGAGATCTCGTCCCGACTCTCCTCTCACACGTATTTTCCGCCGCAATCCGCGCAGACCAGTCGTCTCCTCCTTCGCGCCGCTCCTTCATCGAGAAGCTGCGCCAGTGCGTCTGCTCGCCCCCACTCTCGCTCCTTCCGCCCCCGCCCCCCCGAGGGGTGCGCGACGGCGAGAGGCACTCGGCGTTAGGCTTCGTCCCCATGAGCAGGCGGATGGCGAGGCGGCGCGCGGCGTCATCGGGGGTAGGGGGGGGAATGGCGGAAGAGGACGGGGAGTTGGGGACGTCGAAGGACTGGGATATCTGGGAGGGGGTGTTTGGTCCGCGAAACGGGGTTCGAGGACGGAGAGGCGACGCGGACATTGAGGACGCGGTGCGGTTAGAGTAGTCTCGAGCCGTTGGACCGTCTCCTGATGCTGCTGCTACTTGCGTCGATGACAGGGAATGCGCGACGGATAAGGAAGTTGACGACATGGATGCCTGTTTGCGGTGCGTGCGATGTCGCCCGGACGTTACTACTGAGGAACTTCAGCGGCTCGCTGGAAATTGGAATAGGAGATCATTGTTAACGGTGACGGCAATTCAGGAGCCGCTTAGGTTGCATCTACATGGACCACAGGAACAAGGAATGGTAGTGTTTGTGCAACACAGCTATGATATGGAAGGTAACAGTCAGGTGGGTGGGTTGGTCAGATTCTGCGCATTTTAGAATGGAGCGCGTGCTGCGCTGTAGTGCAGGAAAGACTTGGCTGGGCTGGGATGAACGGATTTCGTGGACAAGCTTGCTTCCTTTGCCGGCGGGGTTTGTTTCCGTTGTTTTCTTCGGTGCAGTGCGTTGATACCACAGTTCGTATTGATTGTTTCCTTTCACGTTTCAGGGTGAACCAGAACCTGCCCTCTGATTCACGAATGGCATGGGGATTGCACATGATGAGAGACGCGGGAAAACGATAATGTCCGCCACGGCAGGTGGTGGTTCCGTGTTTTGTGCATGTGCGCAATAATGGGCAAGCGGGCATCAGTGATGGGCAGCAGTGTCAGCTTGGCACGCGATTAGGGTGTTATGATATGCAAAAACTGTACCTAAACAGACGGGTGTTCTGTGGTTGCAGCCGATATGCGGTGTGGAAGATTTTGCCATTTTCTTTTCCTGAATAAGGCGGTAAAACCTGTCTCATTCTACTTCATTTTCCAGTCGAAGAGAACGAATGTGCTGTATTTCATTCTCACTATTTACACAGCTCAGAAGCTTGTCCCTGCCCGGGCATCGATTTGAAGCGAACAGTAGAAACAACCAGCAGAAGAACAGTAGGGAGGTGGCGACGCAAGAGGACAAAACTATCTCAGGGCACGTTGTGAAACAAGAAGGGGCGCGCAACCCGTTGAGGTTGTCTGTCCACTGTACAGTATTCAGTTCAGTACAGTTAACCTTTAGAAATAATCACTACTACAGTCGGTGCCCATTTCAAGAATAGTAGGTAGGCGGGCGGCATGTGTGGGAAACGTGTTTGGGATACTTCGCCACATTCGCCCTTGTCGCCACGGGCAAAAATGTGAGAGTAATGTAAAAGTGCAACGTGAATCGAGTCAAGGGCCTTAATTTCGTAACCAGGCTAACTTTTCTGATGACGGGCAACCGTTGTTGTTTATGAACTGTAGATGTTCTTCTTCCTCAACTTGGTGACTGAACCCCGAAATCGGCACAATGGTCAATTTAATCAACCACGGGCAAAACGTGCGCGAGTGACTAGTTCTGTAATTTTTGGGTGCAAATGTTTCGTGATAGGCTGAGCATCGACTGTACCCTTGTTTCCCTGCCTGTACAGAACAGTCAACCGCTCCACATACACATATGTCAGTTCTTTTTTGCTGTAAGTCGCTCAGGCGAGGGCAGCCCAACGAAAAAATATTGGTAGGTCACTGTAATGGTAGTGTGTGGTACAAACAACATCTGGCTCCCGCCACCAATCCGAAGGCAAGAAAATATTTTTTCCGGTAATCTTTGAAGTTGGGAAAAACCAATGAACGAGGAGGTGGTCGCGGTGGTGTCCAAGTACCCACCATCGCTTGTTGTTTCCATCTCAGGTGGCTGAGACAAAAACTCGCTGGGCACTTGGTCTCCGCATGAGCTACCCGGCGCGAATCCTTTCTGACATGTTTCAGAGTCGGACCGAAGAGGTAAAACCGCACGTATGTGTAATTTGCAAGGCGCTTACGTGAATCAACTATAAGGAAAATTCCTTTTCCTTACTTCGCATCCCTTCTCAACGCGTACATCACTGTAGCACCACATTCAACACCGTTACCACTCGCAACCCTCACATCGACAATCCGCCCGCCACCTTCGCACATCGCACCCCGACCTCACGGCTCGGCGAGTAACCCGCGCTCTGGGCCTCCGCTTCGACACTTTTTCCCAACCACAGTCCCAGACCCGTCGGCCGGGGTCGAGCCTGTACACGTTGACCACTGCGTCTCCTTCAGTCACTGCGTCTGGTCAGGTAGCTGCGTCGGGTCAGGTGTTTGCTGCAGCGTCCAGGTCTGGTCCTGAGTCTGCCCCCTGTTCGTGTCGTCTCCTGTCTCACGAGACTCTCCTCTGGCACCACCGCCTTGGTCACCCCTCCCTGCTTCGTCTTAGAAGCATGGCCTCCCGTGTCCTTGTCTCTGGTCTTCCCCGGTCCCTCCCTCCCCTTCCTTTGGGGCCTGGCCCTACCTGCCTCCCCTGTGTCGAGGGGCGGCAGCGGGCTGCCCCTCACTCCTCCCACTTTCCTTCGACAGAGGCCCCGCTGCAGACGCTTCACATGGACGTGTGGGGCCCGGCCCGCGTCCGTGGACAGGGTCACGAGCGCTACTTCCTGCTGGTGGTTGACGACTACTCGCGTTACATCACAGTCTTCCCCTTGCGTAGCAAGGGTGATGTCACTGAGGTGTTGATCGACTGGATCCGCGCAGCTCATCTCCAGCTCAGGCGGAGCTTTGGCTCGGACTTTCCTGTTCTGCGTCTGCACTCTGACTGAGGCGGAGAGTTCTCCTCTGACCTTCTACGAGCCTACTGTCGTGCACGAGCCATCCGCCAGACCTTCACGCTTCCGGATTCTCCACAGCAAAATGGGATTCCTGAGCGCCGCATTGGCATGGTCATGGACGTCGCCCGTACGTCCATGAGGCATGCGGCTGCCCCCCATTTTCTGTGGCCGTTTGCGGTCCGGTACGCGGCGCATCAGATCAACCTTCACCCCAGGGTCTCCATACCGGAGACCTCCCCCGCCTTGCGGTGGACGGGGAAGGTAGGCGATGCGTCTGTGTTCCGTGTCTGGGGATCTCGAGCGTTTGTCCGCGACTTGTCTGCAGACAAGCTGTCCCCTCGTGCTGCTCCCTGCGTCTTCCTGGGTTTCCCCCCTGACGCGCCAGGGTGGCAGTTCTACCACCCCACCTCTCGTCGTGTTCTGTCCTCCCAGGACATCACGTTTGACGAGTCGGTCCCCTACTACCGCCTCTTCCCCTACCGCACTCCGTCCCTCCCCCCGCCACCGCTCTTCCTTGTGCCAGCTCCCCCTCCGGTAGACCCCCTCCCCCCTCAGGGTCCTGCCCCTTCAGGTGTGTCCCACGTAGACGCAGTCGAGCCTGTCCAAGTTACTGGTGACTCTGGTGCTGCTGGGGGTGCTGAGCCTGGGGGTGCTGACTCTTGGGGTACTGAGCGTGTGGGTGCTACGCCTGGGGGTGCTGGGTCTACGGGTGGTATTCCTAGGGGTGCTGAGCCTGGGGGTGCTGAGACTGGGGGTGCTGCGCCTGGGGGTGCTGAGCCTGGAGGTGCTACGCCTGGGGGTGCTGAGCCCGGGAGTGCTACGTCTGGAGGTGCTGAGCCTTGGGGGTGCCACGTCTGGAGCTGCTGAGCCTGGGGGTGCGGAGCCTGCAGCCGCTGGGCCTGCTCGTGTGGCGTCTGGCGGTGCTGGGCTTGGAGGTTCTCCGGGTGCTTCGTCTCGGCGGGAGCCACTCTCTTCCCAGGAACTGCGCGAGTGGTTTGCCTGGCGCTGGAGGCGTACTGCTGGAGCTCGAGCTTCTTCGGCTGCTGAGGGTGCTGGTGCCGCCGGTCCCGGAGGTGCTCGTACTGGGAGTACTAGAGCTGCCGGGCCTGCGGGTACGACTGGCGCTGGAGCTGCTGAGGGTCTTGGCGCTGAGGCTACTGCTGTCAGTCCTGGCGGTGGTCCTGCTGCGGGTGCTGCTGGTGCTGCTGGAGGTACTGCAGTTGGAGGTGCTGTTGGCGCTGGTGCTGCCGCTGGGGGTACTAGTGCTGTCCTTGCTATGTCTGGAGTCGCCGCGCGGCCTTGGCCGTACTTCGTTCCGCTCCTTCAGCAGGTTCTTGGTCCTCCTCCTCCCTTAGAGTGTCCACCGCCTCTCCAGTCCCAGTCACAGTTACCCCCGGCCTCCCCACTACCTGCTCCTTCTCCCTACACTGGTCCTACTGGAGGTCTTGCTGAGCGTCATGAGCCTGCGTCTCGTCCTGCGTCGCCTGTTCGTGCTGCTCGCACTAGTGGTCGCGGTTCGCGTCAGCGTCCTCCTCCTGTCCCTGGCACGCACCGGATGTCTCTGCGTCCGTCCACTGCTCCTCTGCGTGTCCCTTTGCCTTCTCCTCATGCATCCTCTCTTCCTGCTCTTGCCGACCCAGAGTGGGACTCTCTTCGTGCTGCAAGTCCTACTGTCACGCGTCTCCTTGCTACTGTCGTCATTGACCCCTCGTCACTGTCGTCACAAATGAAACGGGCTGTCGCTGCTGGAGCTGACGTGTACGCAGTAGGCATCACAGTAGTAGAGGAAGCGGAGTAGCCGAGTGAGTTCAAGAAACTGCTGGCAGCCGTACCGCCCGAATTACTGGAACTGTTGAAACGATACCCCGAGATTTTTCCCGACAACTTACCGGAAGGAGTGCCACATCAGCGAGCACATGACCACCAAATCGAATTAGAACCGGGGGCATAGCCAACCGTACAGCACCAGTTCAGACTGAGAGCCCGAGCTCGATGAACTAAGCAAGCAGTTACATTACCTGTTACAGAAAAAATTAATCAGACCGAGCTCGTCACCGTTCGCCGCACCGATACTCTTTACGCCGAAAAAAGACGGGGGTTTTCGCATGTGTATCGACTACAGAGCACTGAACAGGATAACAGTGAAGTCGCGGTACCCCATTCCCCGCGCCGACGAACTGATTGACCAACTGCGAACAGCACAGGTTTTTTCGAAAATCGGTTTACGGAGAGGTTACCATAAGATTCGGGTCGAACCATCGGACTGCGCCAAAACAGCTTTCAGGACTAGATACGGCTCGTACGAGTACACTTAGATGCCATTCGGGCTGACCAACGCACCGGCGATGTTTCAGATGACCATTTAGGCCGCTCTTAGATAAGTGCGTAATAGATTACCTCGACGACATTCTAGTGTACAGTCGGTATAAGCAGCAGCACTTAGCAGAT